GGAGCTGTAAAAGAACTGTCTAAACATTCACAATTACGAATCTGAGTATGAACTTTTTGAATATTATGGACTTTTATGGAAACATTTAGGCCCGTCCTATAAAAGTGTTGAGGTTCAGGACCCAGCCCTAGCCACAACCACTGACTAATAACACTGTTGTATTTGAAATATAAACATCTGATTTCATAATGTGCCATAAAGCAGTGAGAAGCTTCAAGCCCCCTTTACAGTGCTGACTCAAACCCACTGGAAAACAAGTGTGTTAGTCTTCCCAGGGAGGGAGTGTTTGATGTGTTCATCATAACATATACAGACTTTGCACAAGTTCACAGGGACTAATGAATTTCCGCTCAAACCATCTTGTGTCATTACAGAGACCATTGGCCTAATCCACTTACCTTCTGCCCAAAATCCCCCTATCAATAAAAAAGGTATCATTTTACCCTCCCCGAGGGCTGTTAAAAGTAAAGAGCCACTCTGTTAAGACTTCCTTTCATAGATGGCAGTGGTTCCGTGCTCTCCTGTAAGCCTCTAATCCCTCTGTCGCCATCACTCGCCCATGTACTGCCCTAGAGGAAGCGACGTCTTGCAAACTAAACCTGCAGGTCTCATGTTGTGTGTGTAGTGCGGGATTCCCGGATTAGGCTAAACATACACTTTTTATTAACCTTGGGCATAACACTTGCTGTAGTGTGTTTTGTGCGTGTGTGTGTTTAAGAAAGGCATTTCTGTTCAACCTCAAAGTAACACGTTTGTGTTTGTCTCAGTCCCTCTTGATGGTTGCTTACCGAGAGCGAACTGCAGAACAAATCACTGTCTGTGTGTGTGTGTAATTGTGAGTGTGTGTGAGTGTGTATGCATGCACATGAGCATTTGTGTATAGCCGTTGGCACGACGCTGTGTAGTTAGGACGCAAGCCAACTTTTTCTGCTGGAATTTCCTGTCTGAATTGAGCACCCCCACCTCTCCTGCTCCTCTGCTCTTCACTTCTCTTTCTCTCTCTCTGTGCTTTCCTCTCCCCCTCTCGCTCTCCGTCTCTCCCTCACTGCCCCTTTCTCTCAAAGCACGACAAAGGCTTTTTTTTTCTTCCCGAAATTATTCCTGGCCTGGCCTGGCCTCTCAGGGCATTATTATTATCGTTGAGTACTTCCTCGAAGACATGAGCCCACTCCACTCTCCACTTCAGCATGGTCCTGATCCGGGCTTCATTTGGACATAATGAGAGAGTGCTTTTCCTTCTTCTTTCTCTGAGTCATGAGACTCGAAGGGGCCTTTGTTAACATCGAACACCTGGCATTGTCTTTAGCGAGAGATCAAACCGGGGCTTTAAGATGCAAACTAAAAAGGAGGAGATGATGTGGGGCTCTAACCCTGCTGCTTGGCAGGATGTTTGGCACGTCTGGAGCCTCGTTATGGGGGCTAGGGGGCAAAGATATGTTCGGGCTTAAAACAAACATGTTGATGAGTGATCAGAGCAGATATGGTGCCTGAGAACGACCACCAGCTAAAAGTTCCTGTGCAATGGATTGATTTATGATATAAGATTACACCAACATAAAAGCCCCTCAGTGCACTTCACTGCATTTTAAACTCCTGCCATGGTTTAAAGTTAGTTAGTGACCTTTTCCACACACACTAACACAGGGATCCATCAGTGCTGTGTTAGGTACTAGGATGAAATACATTTCAGGAAGTCCAGTTTGAGCGGTAAATCCATGATTTTTGAGATTTATCAAGAATTAAAACACACCATTGCCTCATAGCAAGACAGGATCTTCCAACTCTGGAAAGTTGTCACAGTGATAACTTTCCGCTTCAATGTCACGCTGTGTTGCGGTAAAAGTTGAGACAAGTTGTGCTAAAGTCGGTCTGAACAGTCCTCCGCTCTGTTTTGGATATACAGTATGAAGCCCAGGGTGGAGTAACCCTTCATGCCAACACACCCAAAGGAGACAGGAGGGCGGTAAATCAAGAAACTGCGGTGTGTGAATCGTCCCAACCATGTACCTGCCTGTAGTTGTCCCTGCAGCCCAGGAAACAATGCAGCTGTCTGGGTGATGGAAGGGCTTGTTCAGCCCTTATCGCCCCCACATCCAGCAGCCCCAAGCTGGGGGGGGGGCTTCTGCTTGATATTGTTTATTTTAGTTTGCTTGTGTATTCGTTTTCACTAATGGACTGAACATCATTCCTTAATGGAAGATTTAAACAAAAACATTTTGATTAATAATCTATGAGACCCGATCATAAAGGCTTTTACAAGTACAATGTTACACTTACAGCAGAAAACAACTGAAGATGAGTCCAGGTTTGACTCTCTCCGACAGGTCCAAAATAATCTCCTGCGCCGCCCCGACTTCCAGCACAAGCTTGTTGTCTTTCTCATAGTCTAGTCTCCTTGTCCCGTGGCCTTCCCACCCTCTCCACCAGAGATGTGCCAGGCAGCACAAGCAGGGGGCACCTCCCAGACAAAGCCTGAACTTCTGGCTCCACTTGTGAAACAAAGCTTGGACTCCTTTTTCCCAGCTCTCACTCCCTCTCGCTCATTTATTGGGCGCCTCTTTTTGGCTTTGTAACACACAAGTTGACTCGGAATTGGCCGCCTGTCTTGCGCACAAAAGCAAGGGAGGCTCGCTGGCTGAGATCCAGCGGCGTGGATCTTGATAGAAACGCAGAGCCCCTGGCCTTCTGAGCTCAAAGACAAGAGGAGACAGCAGACATTTTTACAACTCCCTTTGGCCTTGCACACAATTTTGACTATTCTGTGCGTGCAGTGGAACGTCCAGTGATTTGTAAAAATTTCAGGGTGTTCATTAATGTTACTGCTGTGCAGTTCTGCCATGTCTATCATTTCTGAAGTAAAATTCCTTTAGAAATTATCCAAGCATGTTTTGAAGATAGGTCTTCTGACAATGTAATGTTTTTATGGCTAGTGTGTCTGGGCAGACGCTTGACAGACATCTTTTCAGTAAAATAATTACTATTTTTGGCACAACCTTCATATTTTGCTTAACAAAAACAAGAATCACCCAACTGCACAATCTTCTTTATCTTAATCGACTGTATGTGTGCCACGGCTAATTTCAGCAAATGTCATGCAATGCAACACCCATGCAGTCTTGAAAAACAATCATCGTTGGGTAATGCTCGTCCTTAAACAAATTCCACACCAGTCGAATGTTTCACAGTTCAGAGCTGCCTTCAGGGGGACTCTCCTCCCCCAGTCATGTGTAATCCCGTCAGAATTAACTAAGAACAAGATGGTACAACGTCACAATGATTACCTCAAGCACAACAACAAAAGGCTCAATCAGGGTTAAGTAGCAGTAATGTCTGTCTTTGTAATTGGCATCACCTAAAAACAACATCCAGCATTCTGCCATAGCCCACAGGCACAGAGTCCTGTTGCACCTTGTTTAGGGCGTTAGGACCCCTTAGGCACATCTCAAACAGGAAGGTGTTTACAAAGAATGCAAACTTTGAAAAGAAAATCCATAGCATGACAAACACTGGACTTTGAAACATGAACTATAGAAAGCAGCAAGCAGATTAAGCAATATTTAATAGCAGAAACCAGGCTTTTAGTTTGGAAAAGTCTTATCGGTATTTAATTTCCACTCTTTTTCAGTAGCATATAAACTCAAAACCTCTTTCATATTGACCTGTTGTCTTGATACAGTCAGCATAATGTACACTCAACACTCTGTTGATCATATTTTTTTAAATATGTTTTTTTTATTTACTATTTTTTTCCAGCCATTTCTACATTTAAATTTTTATTTATTTATTTTTTCTAATCTGCTAAAATACCATCTATGAAACACAACACTTCCTGCACAGATGTTTCACGTTAAAAGCAGTCCAGTGGCTGAATCAGCATAATCAGTCCCTTTCCTGGCAGACATTTAATGTGAAAAATTAGCAGGAAGCATTGGGTTTCATTGACGGAAGCTAACAGCGATCCAAAAAAGTGGAATTACTTCACAATCATAAGTGAATGAAACTAGTATTCCTGCTATAAAGGAGTGGAAACAGAGGAAGAAAAGTGAGTGTGGCGTGACTGTTGTTTTACTTCTGGCAGCAGGTAATTTGGGTTTAGTCTTCTTGGCATATTGGGCATTACATTGGTGTGAAAAGTCGCACCCATTTCCCCCTTGTTACCCAGTCCCAGAGGTCCTCTCATATAGAAATAATGATCTGCTCTCACTGAGCTTCGACCTTTAACCCTGGTGGTCTCTGCTCCCAGGTCATCCCAGGTTTACTGGACCGTACAGCCAGAGAATCCTAATAGGAAGCAGGGATCGACCCAGGGGGTTTGCATTGCTCTACACTCTCTGTCTCTGTCCCCCCACAGTGCGCACACAAACACACACACACACACACACACACAAACACACACACACACAATGTGAGATCATTCTGGGGTTTTTTGGTTTATTTTCCTGCAACAAACATGCCAAACTTCAACATATCAAACCAGAAAGAATTAGTAGGCTTTCTGTCTATGATTAGAGCTCTCCTCCCCCTTCAATCATGACAGTAATGTCTCCTACTCAGCGGTTGTAATGACAGTAATTAATGAAGATCGGCTGTGTTGTCTTAATGAGACTTCCCTCAAGCCATCAGACCATTTATGGCAGGAAATGGTGGATTTGTGCATTCTTTGTCTGACACATAAAAACACATTCATTGTTGTGTAAACCCTGCTTTGGTCTCATGGATAGAGAGCCATTAATGAACGTACAGTTCCCAGGGCCAAAAGCCACAGACAGTGTGGAAGGTTTCAATTACTGGTGGATTACGGGAACAGTAAAATGGTACAGTTGCATCTCATGCTGCGTTGCAGGCACTAGTCAGGAACTGTATTTCAGCCTCAATATTAGCTTGACTTGCTCTACGTTATCTCTTCTTATTTGGCCAGCTTTGGAAAATGTGTCATCATATTTGTTTGACTGTATTTTCTCGTTCATTTGTGACCTTTACTCTCTTCTTTGCCCTCACAGGTGCCCACCACCTCTTCCCGACGTTTCACACACCCATTCCAATTGACATGAGACACCACGAGGGGCGATACCATTATGAGCCACACCCACTCCATGCCATGCATGGGTAAGTTTCATTGGAAATAACCACTCATTCTGAAACAAACAGTCATGGTGACGTTCACAGTTTAGGCTCCCTAACAAACTGTGGTGCAGTCGATAGGCTGGCACACACATTGAGACGTTTTCCTAATTTTCTGTGTGATTTTAATATTTAACTCTAAATTTTAGTTGTTTCATGTTGTGCAATGAAGGTTAAATCTGTTAACCAATAGGTCTTGTGTGGTTGATAATAGTACTAAAGTGTATTTATATATCCAAACATGGTCTGCAAACTACAGGCAGCCTACAGATGATCTAACAGGATGCAAAGATTTCTATGACTTCCTGTATATTCTTTAAAGGCTGCTGGAAACTGTCCAACTTATATGCAGCTTTTTGTCTCTGCCTCCTGCTGCTGCCTGATCTCGGCCACTTGACAGGCGAGGCGCAGTTCATCTCGAACAAGCCTACTGCTGTGCAACCAAACATTATTCAACTCCACAGAACTTTAGCAGCAGATCTCTGGATCCAGAAGTTTCTGGAGATAACAAATATGTCAGGCTGAGCTTTGGGGAAATGTGAATAAAATGACACACAAGAAGCTTTTAGTAGTCAATTCTGATTTATTGCTCACATTATTTGTTGAATGTGGCCCATATCAGATTCCAATGTGAACAGGTTGCGGTCCTGAAGTGAACATAATGTCTGATATGACTATTATCACTGAGGTCACATTGCAAAGAGGCAATGAGGGAATACAGTGATTTCTGCTGCTTAAGGGAAAATTGGGAAACCGTATGTGTTCAATTAAATTCTTATCGTGTGAGTGAGCTACGTTTAAAAGTTCATCAAAAAACATCAACACTCCAACATCATAAAATAATCCATCAGTAAATCCAACACAGCATGATTGTATTTATCATTCATACTGGTCTGTGGTTGCTTTTTACCAGCAGCAGGGAGGGACCACTCAATTGTTGCAACACCACTTGGTGATGAAGGCTAACAAACAAATAGACTTTTATGTAAAACAGTCAGCAGTTCCACTTTTTACAAGGGTAAATAATGTCTGAAAGCTAATGTGACTTGTGAAGGTCAGTTGTCGCTTTCCATTGTTTTATCCCTCTGAGAGTTCCCTACAACTCCTTCCTATTTGATAGAGCTGGAGGGGGGGGGGCAGCCCCTGTTTCTGAGCTTCAGTGACAGAGCCAAGTTAAAATACATCAAAGCCAAACAAGATACACAGAGCGAGAGGGAGACAGAGATGAAGGGAGACAAGCCACATTAGCACAATACAACAGACTGTTAACATTTCCACTCCTATCTCCTCTCCTAACCCAGAAATGAGGAACTCTGCCAAGAAACATCGTCTCTAGTAAAACTGCCTTGTTGAGAGAAAGCCCGGTGAAAGACAATGTTGGAAGAAGTACATAGCTCCACTAAAGTAAAATGGGCAGCACTAACTCTTATAGTAAAGTCCTTAGAAAAACTGTTAGTATTGGCTATTAAAGTAGAAATATGTCCAAACTTATACCAAACATTTATTTAATGTCTGACAAGCTTTTAAAAACACAGTATACTGCTTAGGATAAATAGGTTGGCAGTCCAGTTGTGTGCTTGGTTTTGAAACTTGCTTCCTAACCTGACCTACAAAGAAACACTAATTTATTTTCTGACTTTATTAATGTGGCATTACCATAAAAGTCTGGCCTTGCTAACATTGCCAGGCCCTCTTATGCTTATCTAAAATATTCGAATCCAGGAAGGGAACCCGGGAGTAAGATCAATAGAGGTTTTGTGAGAACTGTGCTGTTACATTTAAATTCAGCAAGATCAGGTGATACACAGTGTAGGCAGAGCTATTCATCACCTGCAAAGCGAGGGAAAGGAGGGGGGGAAAGTGTGGCTGTGCACCCGGTTTGTTTTGATTAATGTGATGTGACTCTGACAGAGTGCTCCCACTAATTCATCAAGACCTTGATATAGCTGTCTTTTCCCCAGCATGTGCCAAATTCACCTAATTACTGCGCGTCGTCCTGGGGAAATGGAGCAGGGTGTCGGTGCAAGGCGCTTGGTGGCAGCACTTTGTCAGTGGTTGGTTGCTGTGTGTCAGAGTTGTACTTCCTGTCTGAAGGATCATGCTAACTTTCATATGGAGCGCCCGTCATTGCTGTTTGCATGTAACATAATGAGGGCTGCAGGTCAGTCTGTCACAGCTGTCATAATGCAGATCCTGTAGTGCTCACTGCTTTATTATCTGCCTTGCTCCCTGGCTGACAATGTGAGAGAGAATAGACTGGGGTATTCTGTGTGCTTAGGCCAATGCATATGTGTACAATAGCTTTAAGCAAGCAGTTATCTATGTTTCTTATCAATGTTTAATTAAGCTAACATACTAAAAAGGTTTGATTTTTGATTTATCCACCGATGGAGCGTCCTACTCCTGTAACTCAGGGTAGACAGATTAATGAAAAGGATCAAAATCGATCAGAATTGATGCAGCAGAACCAGAGATATTGTCTTTTTTATTTAATGCAAAAAACCTGCCGCCTACATTACCCACAATGCAACCGCCAACAGGTCAAAGATTTGGTTGTGTTATGCTACTACTACTTAAGCCCCAACCATCATTTGCAAAGCTGCCTCTGGAGCCGCACAGGACTTTGTAGAACTTTTTCCCATATACAGTTGTTCTTCCCCAGTTCTGGACTATGATGTGTAAAGTCGATGGAGTTCCTCTGTAAGTAAGAAAGAATTGGGCTTAACGCTTATTTCACCCTAAAGGCATCAGTGAGATTACCACAAAGTAATTCATAAGCCATGACGCCCAGGTTTGCCTAAAGGACAAAAATTTGATGGTCTGACTCAACGGCGGGGCGAAAAGCTCGCCACCATAGCCTCCTGGTTGGCTGCATCCCATTTTTACCCAATTTCTTTGGAAGTTTTGTATGTACGGTGTCGGAAATGGGGTTTTAAACACTGATTGGACAAGCATTTAAGGAAAGGGTCCAAAGGAAGCAGAAGTTAGCATAGATAAGGGGTCAGTGTTTGTTGGATTGTGGAAGGCCCATACAGTCCTACAGACCTTCTTCAAAAATGTGACACAGACAAGTGGTTGGACAAAATAGTCTCCTGGGCTATGAATGAATATGAATCAAATTTATACACATTACTCAGGGTTGCACTGTCAGTACATAAGCATCTTTCAGCACATTTCCAAATGCTTAATCCAGGATTTAAAAGTAGCAACCTTCCGGCTGTGGTTTCCCTGCCTTTTCACGAATTTAGCATTCCGGAGAGAAGAAACGTGCCATATCCGAACTGTCTCTGGAACACATTAGGAAGAGCCTTTTGTAGGATGACAGCAGAAGTTGGACTCTGAGACAGCACTTATGTGATGTTTGCTGGATATTGTGGAGTCGGGCATCTTCTCTGCAAACCCACAAGCCAGGAAAGCCAGCCAGCGTGCCAGCATGTTTGACCGGGTAATTAGCATCCGAAATCCAGCCTTCCGTTCCCAGAACCTCAACGACAACGCAATGGATGAGAAAAACAGATCCCCCGCTCATTCCACAACCCGTATTTATGCTTTTTGGGAAGCAGTCGGGGGGCAAATTGCAGCACTGAAAAGTTGAAATATGCCCAAGGTTTTTGTGTGGCAAAGCTGTGGCCTACACCGCCCCTGTACACAAACAGATGTGGTCCCACTCACCAGGCAATCAGCCTGTTCAGGACCCGCAGCCCCACAGCACGGAATGTGTTGATTAAATACAGTTTACAGATCAGCCATTTGGGTTGATGTTGTTTTTTCCTTTCATTGTTTTGGTTTAGTTAACATGGAAAAGGGAAGGGTAGGGAGACGAGCAGAGGGTGGGAGGTAAGGGGGGGACAATCTGACGATTGGTTGTCAGTGGTTTTGACAGACGTGTTGTTATCTCATGTTGTTGTTCGCTGGCTCCAGCCCAGGCTCATCGTCACGGTTAATGTTTGAATTTGGATGCTCCCCTGAGTTACAGCCAGGAATGTGCTGCTGAAAAGACAAGGGACCCATCAATCAAAAGACGGCAAAGTTGCAAATCAATAGCCTGAAATTTTCACGGTTTATCGCACGGTCTCAATGTAATTTTCTTGCACTCAAAAAAGACTAAATGGTATGTGACAGCAACGGAGCCGAATAATGGATAATTACCCTCTGTAATCCCATCTCATTTAAGTATATTATCCCATCGTCTGACATAGTTCTACTGGGCCCCTCCTTTGTACACAGTCCTCGCTTCTCAGGGAGTACAGTATCAAGTTGTGTCCAAATCCTCAGCATCCTGATCAGGGCCCCAAAAACAACTAAGGCAGGATCTTAGCATGTCCCCTGTGGGGCAGTGTGGTGATTTATCTTGATCGCCTTGGCTGCCCAGAAGTACAGAAGGGAGTGTGTCACATCATAATTCATCCCACCCCGAGCCAGTAGGGAAAATGCCAGAGAGGCAAATTCTAACTTGTTGGTCAGCCAGGAGGGCAGGGTGGCAGGCAGACAGGCAGAAAGGGAACTTGATGTTGGAGTGTGGCTTTAACACCTCACCTTGAAAACAAGTTACATGGGCAGCATCTTGTCATTGCTTGCAGAAAGACCCATTCAGACTTTGTGAAACTAGAAAATGTATCTATCCAAAAATCCCTTTTTCCGGGATATGCTTTAAATTAAGTTTTTATCAAGTGTCACTTCACTGTGCCCAAAAGCAGAAGTGTTTATAACTGTTCCGAATGGCCACACTCAAAAGTTGGGCGAAAATAAAGAGGGACAAGACATGAGGAATTACAAATAGGGATAGCACAAACTTTTGTCAGTCTGTCTACAAAGGCATTCGTGGTGTTTCACTTGGATTTACACATAATTATGGAAGAGCTTGGGGCAACAATGGGATAAAGAGAGCTAACCCTAAACCCTACCACCTTTCTCACCTTTTACACAACACCACAAGTTGTCGTTGGAAACAGTTTGGAAAAGGGCAGGCAATTTCAAAAAATACTTGGCAGGTGATTGGATGAACCATCAGTCTATCACCATCTACATTACCCTCTTTAGAAGCCACTATTGTTACTCATAGTTCTTGCCATAGCTGCCAGTAGTTCTTAATCAGGATGCTGATTGGTGTAAACCACTGTGGTTGGACACAAGCCCATATTGAAGCCTGGCAAGATGGATTCTCGGCATGATTTCGTGATCTCGAGTCCAGCTTGCTTGCAAGGTTAGCACACATGGACAACTGCTGGCAGAAGTGGACCTGATTGATGGATTGTTGCTTTCAGAAAGTTAAAAAGATTGACAAACACAGCCGCCTATAATTCTGATGTGGCAGTGTTTGTCAGACACTTTCTGACCCACTTATTCTCTATAAACCAATACCAATACATTTTTACTATGTGTTGTCTGTGTGGTACAGCACTGGCTAGACTATAAAAAGAGACTTGGAAAGACTGAGTTCTAATATGACATCTTTCTTTTCTAATCATGCTGCAATCTGCCCCCGCCAGCAATCTAATGTACATGCACTCTGGTATGCACTTACTCATAGGGTTACTCATATGCTCAACAAGCTGTACCATGTCCAAATCACTTTTTCTCATAGCATAGTTTTAACAATGGAACAACAGAGAGCATGTAATCACATAGTACAGAACACAGAGACAAATAGCAATTACCTTGTTGAAAGCATGTCATCTACTGACTTACATGGGCTTCCCATTCCTCTATCTATCCCTAGTTCTCCTCAAGTATCATCCTTACAGGGACAAACTCCCGGCACTTTTATTTGGCTGTGATGAAGAATTCTGATTTGCAACCATATGCAAGCACTGTTACCATTTCCAACAGCCACCCATAGTGTTCAGGTATGATGGAAGTTTCTTTAAATGGCAGCCACTGAGTAAGAGATGGGGCTCTCCCAGGGCTCTGAGGCCCTCTATGAGCTTCCCATTCAACCTGTGACTGAAGGCTCTGGAAAACACACAGACTTCAAGTAACATCTTGTCAGAAAAAGGGTGGATCGACAAGGCTTCAATAATACTACCTGCCAAAGAGGACTATTATTTGCAGCCTCCTGACAGGCAACAGCAGTAAATTTCACCTTATTATCAAGGCCTCATATTCACTCTTGGTCGTAGGAGTGATTTATGGCAGCCAGAGTGATGCGTGTCGACACGCTGGTTTGCTATCGGCCCAGAAACAAATAACTATTGTTGATGGATATAGGTTAAAAGTAAAATCTTACTAAATGGTTGTGGTAGGTGGAGCATGGAAAGGGGCCATGCTGATTATAATGGAAATGCAATTCATTTCTTCTCAACGCAAGTTCACACTTGAAGTTCTTGATTATATTTTTGTTCATACAGCAATATAGGGTGGCTCATATTGTCTTATCAACAAACATCATGAGACTAGTTGGAAGCTATTTTTTAATTTGCTTGAGATGAGGCTGCTGTTCTATGTTGTGCTGAAAGCTATTGCCCATATGGCCAAAGCCATAACTATTAAAACATATTAATGAACCATACTGTTGCAATGTTACTTCAATACTATGAACACATGGGAGTTTATTTTCACAAGAGCACTAAATATGCATTAATGTGCAGGTGTAAATAGTCACCAAAAAAAAAGGAAGGTGGATTTTAACAGGTTAAAATTACCGGCACAGACAGTGTAGAAAAGCTAGAAAGTACTGACAGATGAGCTTTGGGTTTGTTAACAATAAGATTATATAAAATGTACAATAATGCCCAGCATTTGTATGACGAATATTGAAACCATACATTTTCAGGAAACTTAGCTGGAATCTGGCATCCATTGTGATCCATTATTAAATCGGCCTCCATCCTTGGATGGAGGTAAAGATGAAACAGGCTCCTGCATTACATTAGGCAGGTGTTTCTAATATTCGGTGAAATTTCAGGGAACATACTCGACAATATTGCACTGTAGCTTCAGGCTTTAGCTAAACACTGGGAATCCTAGTGTGTGATTACTTTGAGGAGCTTTGAGTCACTCAGTCTGATAAGAAGAGAGCCAACACCAGTGCCAGCTTACCCAGGTATCCTTCAGTGAAGCACCAGAGCACTAATCTGAGGAGGCACTGCCAAGCTCTCTGTATGCTGCTTAGAGGCGGACCGAGGGAAGCGTGTTTTTGTGTATGGAGCGTCTGTTTCTTCTCACTTCTCCCCTCCCGCCCAGAACAGAGGGCTCTTTATGGTTGTTTGTAGGGGAAGAGTGGGCCTGACGGCAGAAAGTTGGCCCTAGGACAAGGCCAGCAGTCTGCAGGCGCTTACTGGAAATGGAGCGAGGGCCGAGGCTCTGGGTTGGTTGGCTCGGAATGAGTTGGGCAGGGCTCGGCCGGGAGCAGGTTGGCGTCCGCACAGGGACAGTGAATGAGAGACTGAGCAGGGAAACTCTGAAGGGAGGATGGAGGGGAGTTCTGCCAAGTATTCTTGCTAGGTCTCAGGCCCACCTTTCATAGCCAGAGCCAGTAACTACAACCTGGACCAGTCACACTCATTTTATCAGTCAAATGATTTGACACCCCTTACTGATTCCTTTCAGATGTATCAGCACGTAGACGTATCATCATTTCACATATTCACATACCTGGTAGCAGTCATACACTCATCTTTATATTTAACTGAAGAACATTAATGAATCTTGTTACCAGCTAGTGTGAGCCTTGCATCTGTTTATTAACCATTCCTTACGCCCTTCTCTTACACATACACACACATGCTGTGTACCCAGTATGCAGTTGATGCTGCCAAGAATCAAAACCACACTTATAAACACTCATGTGTTCAGCCATCGAGCTGCTTAAGTGTCAGCCTAAACAGCATTTGCTCTCAGACTCATAAAGACAGCCATTCTCTTGTTTTTATTACATTGTGGTGGCGTATGCGAGTGACACTGTGGTCATATTTTCTACCAAAAGATTATGAGGCCGAAGTGAAGCAGGCTGTGACGGTGATGACCAAAGAATCAAACATTTAGAATGAAAAATGTTGAACTAATAGTGACGTGATCTGAAACCTCAATTCCATGTTGTAAGGAGGCTATAATGCCTAACATTTTACTCATTTTTTACCCACTGTATGAGGCCCTCCTCTGCCCCCACTGACAGCATTATGACTCATTAGTCTGGTCATCTCCCCTGAAGGGAGGATTTGCTTTCATAGGTTCCCTTAAGGCTGTGGTTCCCAAACTTTTTCTTTAATGTACCCCCACAGCCCTGTCAGATAAAGGTACCCCTCCATCGACACCACCCGTCTAAACGTGTTTATTTGGGTTGATTTTAAACTGCGTGTTGTACAGTTGAATTGTAAATGTTTAGTTCAGTTTGCACTGCTACCTCTTGGAGTGATAGAAACTGGAGACATTCAGCCCTTTATCCATTATTATAGCTATTTTAACCTTTCTTTCATAGTCTTTGGCTATTTCAACTGTTTGTATTTTATGCACTCCTTTAGGTCATTCACTTTTTCTCACTCACTTTTAGCTATCTATGTGACCATCTGTTTATAAGCATTACTATAAGAAGTTATGGGTAATTACTTGAAAAACAGTAAATTGGCTCTCTGTCTCAAATCAGTTTAACTTCTCTTCAGTCTTTCCAAGTCCCTATGCAACTACAGAAGTAAGTTTTTCGTTTAGAGAGATGGCTTATGGGGGCTAAATTTTGAAATAACAATTGTAGCCAGTTAGCCAATTAATCAATTATTTCTAGCTTATGTCTTAATGAAGTTTTTGGAACAATCCCTACTTGTAAAAGTGTGTCTCTTGCATCAAGTTAAGCCAGATACAGCACTGCAACCCACCTGTTGTTCAACCAGAGTGTAGTTTCAACTAAAAGCCCACTTACATTTAAATCCCTGCAAACAGTTTCATTTGATCATTTATTGGTTACTGTTAAAACAGTAATATAACCACACTGTGTCATTCAGCCTTTTCTCTATTAGTCATTGTTCCTCTTGTTTAAGTGGCTTTCAGAGGGCTGAATTTCTACCAGGTGTTCTTACCACACACTGAGGGAGCGACAGGCCCCTTATCACAGCTGAAGCACACTAGGTCGACATAAGTACCAGTGCCCCTTCAAAGGGTTATGCCACCGCCAGCGGCCAGCAGACATTTTTATCTAGAGTTCAGCCCCTCAGGGCTATTGAGGATTACAACACCCACTTGTCTGTGTTTCTGCAAGAAGAGCCGCCAATTACCTGCCAGAGATGACAAATTTACTGTATAGCCTGATGTGACCAGCAGGCTGCTGGAGAACTTCAGACGAGGCTTCTTTGTTTCTTGTAAAAAGGTTGCTTTAAGCAGCTACTTAAGGTTTCAAACATCCAGTTGCGCTCTTTTATCATACACCTTGTAATACCTGATGTGAAAGACCCTGTAGTTTTGCCCACCCAAACAGACAGAAAATACTCTTCCTGGTAGCCTTGCAGTCGAAAAGCCCTTGGTCTCGACTTGTCTGTAGCTCCGGGGCTTAATAGAAGAAGGCAAACAAAAGGGGATTATTATGTATTAGCTGTGGGACTGGGGAGGGGAAAGGGTGTAAGTGGATTGAGACTGCAGACACTTTGGTGGAATAATAGAAGTTAAGGCTTGTCTATGAACATACCAATGAAGATCACTCAGGATGATAAGTGAGCACAATACAAGTAATCAAATTAACACAGGCTTGTTTCCAATCCCTCCATGTCTCACTATCTGTTTCTGTTTATCACCCTCATGTTCCATCCCCTCTTTCTCTCTCTGTCCACAGCTTCCTCTTTGTATCATTTATTTAAATGTATCTAACTTTTACTTCCTCTTCACAGACCTCCAGGACTGACAGGCAGTCCAGTCATCTCAGATATTCCCCTGATCCGTCTGTCACCCCACGGGGCGCCGGGTTCGGGTGAATCACCGTTCAGCCCTCCACATCCTTACGTCAGCCCCCACATGGAGCACTACCTACGCTCTGTACATGGCAGCCCCACGCTCTCTATGATCTCAGCGGCCCGAGGACTGAGCCCTGCTGAGGGTAAGACTAACCCCTCATACCAGTGTTTGTTGACTATAATATCAACCTGTTGCTAATAGCACAAAAAGAAAAACCAGAATAGCCTCAACCACAATAGCACCAACAAGCAGCCTGGATAGCAATATCCTAAATATCATCCTCTGCTTTTGACCCATCGTAAGTACTTGGAGCCCCCAGGGGACCAACTCCAGATCTGAGCCAGTTCTCAGTGCACTTTTTTTAAATGGTGGTTTTCAACCATTGTTAAAGTATATTACCATATCCCACTGGACTGCATTGTGGAATTAGGAGTTAATTTGGCGAGCCAAAGTTGTTTCCTTAAAAACACATATTTGAGTACCAATCACACATGCTGCGTTTATGTCCTCACATCAATCAAAAGTATAAAAGTCATAGCTGATCGGTATTCCTCTCATTCCTTGTGTAATCCATATACACAACTGTATATTCATCCTCTGGTGATGACTTTGGGATTTGTATTGAATGTCTGATTCAGCCTCTCAAAGTAGAGGGCAAAGTTTGGTTATGTTAACAAATTTTGTCTGTAGTACAATTCCAAGTAGATACACTCACTTTTCATTTATAGTTCTTACGTACAGCTTCTCACATGCCGTTCACTGGATGTTTAATGTGTGAATAACTTTAAATGCCGAAGCACATGTGTTCATCCATAAACACTTGGTTAAGTTATAGTCACCGTCATGGAAAGTCTTCTTATGATCTATGCAGTGTTCACAATATGAAGAATAAACTTCAAGTGAAAATCTTTCAAGTGGCGGCTATTCTGCAGCTGCTTTAACCAGTCAACATTAAGGAGGTGAGATTAGAGTTGAGCCGGTTTAGTATTTATGTATCCTGTTCACTATAAACCAACTTGGCTGCACGCATACACGCTTTAGTTCACACTGTTTGTTATTCAACCAGCGGTGATAATTAGTCTTGCACCTTATACATTCCCCTACACAAGGCACTGAAGCACACCTTTCATCAAGCATGTTTAGGTGTTTTGCATGTGTGTGCATGCTGGTCATTTGCGGGTGTGTCGGGCATATGCTTTGCCGTACGTGCAGCTTGTTTGGGCTGGAGAAACACAAACACCCTGAACTATTGAGTTTGCACGACGTGAGACCTGTCCTCGCTACCCCTGTTCAAACAACAGGTTGGAGAAGTGAGGAGCCACAGCCCTGCACTCGGCACCAATAAATCACCAAGCACACGCTGCTGGCAAGTAATGCCCCCCCCCCCC